CCTTTACCCCCTCCCTCCAACCTTTCCTAGGTCAACCCCTACCCCGCCTTCCCTCTACTACAGATTTATACTCTCAAAGTCATTCTGTTTTGTTCCATTCTCTCTACATGTCAGAACAACCTCAACAACCCCTCCTCAGCCCTCTGGATAATAGTTTTGGTAATCCCACACCTCCTCCTAATTCCAAATTATGAATTCTCTGCATTATATTCACACCACATATTGCCCCAAGACATGACATCTCCACTGCCTCCAGCCGTCTCCTCATTGCAACATTCATCACCCATGCTTCACATCCATATGCGAGTGTTGGTATAACTATACTCTCATACATTCCCCTCTTTGCTGCCACGGACAAAGTTTTTTTTGTCTCCACAGACTCCTAAGTGCACCATTCACCCTTCTTCCCTCCCTCATCAATTCTATGATTCACCTCATCCTTCATAGACCCATCTGCTGACACGTCCACTCCTAAATATCTGAATACATTCACCTCCTCCATACTCTCTCCCTCTGATATCCAATCTTTCGTCACCTTATCTTTTTGAATATCAAAATGGTATACAATACTGACAGGTTGGTAGGTAAGACACATAGGCAACATTTAGGCAACTTTATTCCGAAACGTTTCACCTACACGGTAGGCTTCTTCAGTCGAGTACAGAAAGTAGGCAGGAGCAGTAGAGATGTGAAGATGATGTAATCAGTCCATCACCCTTAACCCTTTGACTGTCGCGGTCGTATATATACGTCTTACGAGGTACCGTGTTTGACATATATATATTCATAAATTCTAGCGGCTTCAAATCAAGAAGGAGAAAGCTGGTAGGCCCACATGTGAGAGAATGGGTCTGTGTGGTCAGTGTGCACCATTTAAAAAAAAATCCTGGAGCACGCAGTGCATAATGAGAAAAAAAACTCCGACTGTTTTTTTTAATTAAAATGCTGACTTTATCTATTTTCGTATAGTATTTATGGTTGTATTCTCGTTTTCTTGGTCTCATATGATAGAATGGAAAACATATTATAGAAATAGAGGTGATTTTGATTGATTTTACTATAAAAAGAACCTGGAAATGGAGCTCAAAGTAGGGAAAATGTTTGATTTTTGCCGATGTTCAAAAGTAAACAAATGATGTCATTGTCCAATAAATGTCCAACTAGCTATTCTAATATGCAGTCATGAATGGGTTGATGTTATTTATACAATTATTACAGTATTGCAGTAGTCTGCATAATAGTAAATCTTCTATTTTTTGTTTGAATAAAAATTCAATATAGAAAGCAAGAGTAATATCAGAGGGGCCTGGAGACATGACTGATGAACTAAGAAAATGTTATTTTAGAGCCAGGAATGTCTGCATTGTTCATTCTGGACCTTATTTTGAAATTGTCATATTTTTTTAGTTTTCGTGAAATTGGCCAAATTGCAAATTTCTGACCACGTTATTGGGTAGTTGAAATTGGTAAATAGGCAGTTTCTTGTACTCAATCGATAGAAAAAACGGAGTTCTAAAGAAATAGATATGAGTTTGGTCGACTGGAACAATGGAATTAGCCGAAAATAGGGCTGAAAGTAGGCGAAATAGCCGATTTGTAAATATCGGCGAGGTCGCTAACTTCGCGAAAGCGTAATTCCATCAGTTTTCCATCAAACTTCGTTTTTTTGGTGTCATTACAATCGGGAAAAGAATATATATGAATTTTTTTTTTTTTTTTTTTTTTTGAAATTTTGCGACACCAGGAGACACCTCAGGATTGGGGGTTGTAACAGTCAAGGGGTTAAAGTCGTAGATTTGAGGTTGTCAGTCCCTCAGCCTGGAGAATTTCTGTTCCAAAGTCTGGAACTAACTGAAGATCAAGCAACAGTGTAGAGACTTAAATACTGTCTGAAGGAGAGGTGCAGAGTAGTAGTAGTGAGAATGTAGCCACTGAGAGGTCACGTCCTTCTCAGATCAAACAATTCTCACGTGAAAAAGTTGTCCAAGGTGTTTTCTCTTCTGTACCAAGATGAGAAAACACCTTGGACAACTTTTTCATGTGAGAATTGTTTAATCTGAGAAGGACGTGACCTCTCAGTGGCTACTACTACTACTGTGCACCTCTCCTTCGGACAGTATTTAAGTCTCTACACTGTCGCTTGATCTTCAGTTAGTTCCAGACTTTGGAACAGAACTTCTCCAGGCTGAGGGACTGACAACCTCAAATCTACAACTTTAAGGGTGATGGACTGATTACATCGTCTTCACATCTCTACTGCTCCTGCCTACTTTCTGTACTCGACTGAAGAAGCCTACTGTGTAGGCGAAACGTTTCGGAATAAAGTTGCCTAAATGTTGCCTATGTGTCTTACCTACCAACCTGTCAGTATTGTATACCATTTTGATATTCACTCTGTCAGACACTGCAACACAATGGCATCTTGGTACAGAAGAGAAAACACCTTGGACAACTTTTTCACGTGAGAATTGTTGATCTGAGAAGGACGTGACCTCTCAGTGGCTACATTCTCACTACTACTACTACTCTGCACCTCTCCTTCAGACAGTATTAACCCTTAAACGGTCCAAACAGATCGACATTCAAATCCGTAATGCTCCAAAAGTAGATCTACGTTTTTTTTACATATTTTCAAATATAACAAAAAAAAATGTAGATAAAAGTTTTTTTACACATTTTCAAATGTAAAACAAGAAAGAAGATCTACATTTTTTTACATACTTTCAGATGTTGAAAAAACGTATATATACGTTTGGACCATTTAAGGGTTAAGTCTTTACACTGTCGCTTGATCTTCAGTTAGTTCCAGACTTTGGAACAGAACTTCTCCAGGCTGAGATACTGACAACCTCAAATCTACGACTTTAAGGGTGATGGACTGATTACATCGGCTTCACATCTCTACTGCTCCTGCCTACTTTCTGTACTCGACTGAAAAAGCCTACTGTGTAGGTGAAACGTTTCGGAATAAAGTTGCCTAAATGTTGCCTATGTGTCTTACCTTCCAACCTTATCTTTTTGTTATCCTCATAACCTTACTCTTTCCTATATTCACTTTTAATTTTCTTCTTTTACATACCCTACCAAATTCATCCACCAACCTCTGCAACTTCTCTTCAGAATCTCCCAAAAGCACCGTGTCATCAGCAAAGAGCAACTGTGACAACTCCCACTTTGTGTTTGATTCTTTATCTTTTAACTCCGCACCTCTTGCCAAGACCCTCGCATTCACTTCTCTTACAACCCCATCTAAAATATATTGAACAACCACGGTCATCCACACAATTTGCAGAAGCACCTAGATATGACAGTTTAGATGTCACTCCAAACAGCCAATATACCAAATCCCTCCTTTAAAACGCAGGCATTGTACTTCCCACCTCTAAGACTCAAGTCCGGCTAACCAGTTTCCCTGAATCCCTTCACAAAATGTGGGAATTAATTTCTATACATAATATGAACAGTTGTTACCAAATACCTTTCTCAGTATATAAGGTAATAAAAAAAACAGATCAAAAGCTCTCTTAAGATCATTTCTAGGCATACATTTCAACTTTTTTTTTTTTTAACCTTTACTTAAATGGGGTGGAAGAAGTGCAGTAAAACTCAAAAGAATGTAAAAGCACTTCCACTAATTATCACATAGTGTAAAGAACTTCTATTAACCCGTAAACGGTCCAAACGTATATATACATTTTTTCAACATTTGAAAGTATGTAAAAAAGTAGATGATCTTTTTGTTTTTTTACATTTGAAAATGTGTAAAAAAACTTTGATCTACTTTTTTTTTTTGTTATATTTGAAAATAGGTAAAAAAACATAGATCTACTTTTGTAGCACTACACATGTGAACGTAGATCTGCTTGGACCATTTACAGGTTAATTATCACACAGTGTAAAGCACTTATATTAATTATCACACAGTGTTGAGTGCAGCAGAGGTACACTATGGCTACCAGTAAATAAATCATTCATTTACAACTACAGTAGAATCCCTGTATCCATGGATTTGGTTTCTGCAATTTCAGCTATCTGCAGTTTACCATGACCGGAAAACAACCCTTAATTTTGCTTAATAATGATCCTAAAGCACAATAGTGATCCCACATGAGCTGTATGGCTCTTTGAGTTTAGCACTTCCACATGAATATAATAACAGATGTCTTGCCCAAAGTGCAAGGACATCACAATTTAAACGACATTACCAAACCACATCCCCACCCACCCTTCAGAGTGCAGGTACTATACATATCACCTCCAGGACTCAAGTCTGCCTATCAAATTTTCCTGAATCCTTTCATATTACAAATATTCAACATAAATAACTCTCACATTATTTTTTCACAAGATTCAGTTCTATCATTTAACAAAAAAGTCCCTCCTAAATTGGTGTCAAACATAAAATAATTTTATTTTCATTACAGAATCTAAGACCACTAAATGTTGCAAAGCAATTTTTCACAATTTCCAAGACATGAAAATGATTCTACAAAAAAAAAAAATAATAGTAATAGTAATAATAATTTTCCTCCTTGCTCTGACATTACAAAGTTAAATAAATCAGTGATTTCTATATTACAAATGTCTGAATAAAAGAAAACTATATGATGCAAGAAACAACAAAAACATTTGCTGATTAACAAAGTATTTACAATTCAAACCATACCATGGGCGGGGATAGAACCCGCGATCAGAGAGTCTCAGAACTCCAGACCGTCATGTTAGCCACTGGGCCAGCTAGCCACAATAAGATTCACCCAACTAGGTATATTTCTACACCACAGGAAGGTCAGCATTGGCACCACTGTGACCACAAATGTAGGTTTTTACAGACGAATCTCCAGCTAGTGTGGCTGTGATGAACTCTAGTATTTGTTGTCAGAGTGGTGCCTATGCTAACCTTCCTGTGGTGTAGAAATATACCTAGTTGGGTGAATCTTATTGTGGCTAGCTGGCCCAGTGGCTAACGCGACGGTCTGGAGTTTTGAGGCTCTCTGATTGCGGGTTCTATCCCCGCCCGTGGTATGGTTTGTTTGCAATCGTGTCATTACGATTTCGTTGAGTCAGTTATTTACACTTCATTAGCATTAAAACATATAATTAATAATAAAAATGAAAAGGCATACCTTGTTAATATGGCTCTAACTTTAGAGCCCTTCGCTAATACGGCACTTTCAATTATATTTATGTTTAGTATTTTTGGTGCTTGCATTTTCTCATAAGATAGATTTTTGTCAATAAAAAAAATATTTTTACTTTTGCATCAATTTTTTAAGACTAGTGTTATTGCATATTAAATAAATGATAGTGTAAACATATTTTAAGGATTTTAATATGCACTAGTAAGTGAAGAAAAAAAAAAGGCTGTGATTCACTTTTATTTTTATTTTATTTTTATTTATTTTATGTCTTTGCAAACAGTACATTGAGATTTTATATTTACAATAGTGAGTTGCAATACAAAGAGAGCCTCTATTATGCCTAGGCATTATGGGCCAACTTAACATTACTGGCTGACAGTCTACTTAACACTAAGGAGTATATCATAGTTGTACAGTAGGATAGTAATTATTTCATAGTTGTACAGTAGAATATTAATTATAAATGAGTCAAAATTTGTATAATACAAAGATATATTTATATTTGAAAATGCTTTTTGTGAAAACAATGATTCAATTATATTCCTGTCAACAATGGATAAAAGATTCAAAGTGATTACTTCATTTATGATGTGGGAGTACTTAGGTGAGTAAGTGTGTACTGAGTATATTTAGCATTTAGTCTAGGGTGATTAAGTGGCTTTTGAGAAGAGTCTTAAATTGATTTTCAGACTGGGTTACTTTTAAGGCAATATTCGTTTTATGGCAGTGGTCTGGAACCTTACCCGCTGTATTAATGAGGTATGCCTGTAAACTGTACCATCAACCTGATGAATAAGACATGTACAAGGATTAAGTATCAGCCTTATATTGAGGCTAAGGGACTAATCACCTCAAAATTATTTCTCAACATCTACTGACTAAAGTGTTATATTATGTTGGACAAAAATGTAAACACTAGAACAGTTTCCTGGAAACACTTTAGTCCTGGGACCTTGGTCACTCCAAATATAGAGGACTGAAACATTTCTAGTACACAGTCCTAGTGTTTCCATTTTGTGTTTTATCCAACATTCTGTCAATATCACACACCATTTTTACCACAGTCTAATATATCTGAATGAAGAAACCTGCCCTGCAGACGAAATATTTTGAAAATGAAAATAACCAAGGACTGTACAAGTGTCTTATTCATCAGTAATGTTTTTTGCATCTTTATTGACTTAGTGTCTCTTGCCTCTGCTTTATTCTGTATCAGACTGTTGATGGGTATTCATCGGAGCTATCACTCTGTATCAGACTCTGTTGGTGCATATTCATCAGAACTATCGTCATTCAAGAATGGATCATCATAATCATAATCATCTGATGCACTCTCTTCGTCCTGCTTTTGTCGACGAGCTAAAATATTGATATATATACATTAGAAAATGATACCTGAAACTACCTTTATGTAGCATACACTCTTTTGTAAAGAGAAAGTAAGCGAGTGTGTGAGTGTTCAGAATAGAAAACATGTGAGATTGAATGAGAATATGAGTGTGAGAAAACAAAGAGTGACAGTGAGTGTACTCACCTATATATGACTGTGGTCGACTCCTGGCCCCACCTCTTCTCTGGTCACTACTCAGTCCACTCTCTCCCGGTTCCAAGAGCCTATCATACCTCTTCTTGAAGCTATGTATGGATCCTGCCTCTACTTCACTCTCCAGATTGTTCCACTTCCTGACAACCCTAAGGCTGAAGAAATACTTCCTAACATCTCTGTGACTCTCATGAGTTTTCAACTTGCATTTGTGCTCTCTTGTTCCTGTATCCTATCTCTGAAACATCCTACCCCTGATCACTTTGTTCATTCCTCTCAGTATTTTCTACATCATTATCATATCCTCCCTTCCCTCCTGTCCTCCAGTGTCATCAGGTTGAGTTCCCTTGAAAGACCAGTTTAATATATCAGTGTTCAGCAAACCATTAAACAGGACTAGGTTATATTTTAATTAAAGGAAAGTGTTAAATCCATAGGGGTCATACAGCACCTGTGGAATGGGAGGCACTCAAATTCAATCAAAGCAAGAGTAAGATGTGTCCAGTTCCTTGGATCAAGAGCCCCCTCACCAACATCAAAGCAAAGTGATAGATGCTAACTTTTTTTTTCCCAGGTGGCCCTGTAAATCTACCACAGAATTTGAAAAAGAAATAGCATGTCAAGACAGGTTACACCTCAGCAGGACTGGTGGAGTTACCTGTTCATAAAAGTGCAAAATACCAGTAGCATGATCACTCAGTATTCTCTGGAGAAAGATGTTAGATACAGGTGAAATACTGTACTAGGAGACTAAAGTGTCCATATAGCTCCTCTCATATAGAAATTGTTTAGCCACCCAAGTCAACAACAAAATAATAATTACTTCAATCACCATCATTCTCATTATCATCACCATTAATGCACCTGCTATACCAAACAATATCATCATCACAGCTTAAATACCTCACACTCACATTAAAAAATTTTAAACTCTGCACACGCTCACTTCTCTTCCTCTGCTGCTTCACTGCTGGTATATGACACTCACTAATATATCATTTTCCATAAACACTTAACTAGGGTATCGTGCCCTGCTACACTGGCTAGGTGACAAAATACCCACTGCTCGTCCTAAGTCCAGTGTTTCAGCATTATTTTTTAACTGCTTGGGAAGTACTACTGTATTTAGCTTATAATTGTGAGTGTCCTATAATTACGAGTTTCATTTAATTACGAGTCTCCCATAATTGTGAGTCCCCTACATCTGTGAGTTACCCATAAATTTGTTTGTGCTCACCTAATTGTGGTTGCAGGGGTTAAGTAAGCAAGAGTGGTCGAGAGTGAGTGAGGAGAGTGAGCACGGAAAGTGAGTGAGAGGACAAGAGTGAGTGGATGGTGTATGTGTGGCTTGTTAATATTTTGGCATAAACTGGTCACAAAAGTGGGCATTTGTTTGTGATGGACATTTTGTTTTTGCTCAGCACAGCATCAATAAATTGAAAAACCAGAGGATTTTGTTCAAAATGTGCTCACTGAATTTTTCACTCCCAAATCTATTTTCTTCTGTAAGGTCTTTCTTACAAAATTGAATTTGAAAACAATTAGATCGATATTTAGAGACAAATGCAAAATGTCCAAAATGCTGCAAAGAAACATGGAAAAATACATAGTCATTTTTGAAAATCTGGCACAACCTTCTCCCTATCAGTGTTGATTAATCTATGATTTACAGTAATATGAAAGTGAGAAACACATCTAGCTCCTTAGCTTCTTCCAAAGGTGGGATTTAGTTCAGTCATGAAAATCCTTCCATGTAACAATGGCAATATTAAGACAGGTTAATTTTTATTATTATTTTTTTTTTATTAACACACTGGCCGATTCCCACCAAGGCAGGGTGGCCCAAAAAACAAAAACTTTCACCATCATTCACTCCATCACTGTCTTGCCAGAAGGGTGCTTTACACTACAGTTTTTAAACTGCAACATTAACACCCCTCCTTCAGAGTGCAGGCACTGTACTTCCCATCTCCAGGACTCAAGTCCGGCCTACCGGTTTCCCTGAATCCCTTCATAAATGTTACTTTGCTCACACTCCAACAGCACGTCAAGTATTAAAAACCATTTGTCTCCATTCACTCCTATCAAACACGCTCATGCATGTCCGCTGGAAGTCCAAGCCCCTCGCACACAAAACCTCCTTTACCCCCTCCCTCCAACCTTTCCTAGGCCGACCCCTACCCTGCCTTCCTTCCACTACAGACTGATACACTCTTGAAGGCATTCTGTTTCGCTCCATTCTCTCTACATGTCCGAACCACCTCAACAACCCTTCCTCAGCCTTCTGGACAACAGTTTTGGCAATCCTGCACCTCCTCCTAACTTCCAAACTACGAATTCTCTGCATTATATTCACACCACACATTGCCCTCAGACATGACATCTCCACTGCCTCCAGCCTTCTCCTCGCTGCAACATTCATCACCCATGCTTCACACCCATATAAGAGTGTTGGTAAAACTATACTCTCATACATTCCCCTCTTTGCCTCCAAGGACAAAGTTCATTGTCTCCACGGTGCACCGCTCACCCTTTTCCCCTCATCAATTCTATGATTCACCTCATCTTTCATAGACCCATCCGCTGACACGTCCACTCCCAAATATCTGAATACATTCACCTCCTCCATACTCTCTCCCTCCAATCTGATATCCAATCTTTCATCACCTAATCTTTTTGTTATCCTCATAACCTTACTCTTTCCTGTATTCACTTTCAATTTTCTTCTTTTGCATACCCTACCAAATTCATCCACCAACCTCTGCAACTTCTCTTCAGAATCTCCCAAGAGCACAGTGTCATCAGCAAAGAGCAACTGTGACAACTCCCACTTTATGTGTGATTCTTTATATTTTAACTCCATGCCTCTTGCCAAGACCCTCGCATTTACTTCTCTTACAACCCCATCTATAAATATATTAAACAACCACGGTGACATCACACATCCTTGTCTAAGGCCTACTTTTACTGGGAAATAATCTCCCTCTTTTCTATACTCTAACTTGAGCCTCACTATCCTCGTAAAAACTCTTCACTGCTTTCAGTAGCCTACCTCCTACACCATACACCTGCTACATCTGCCACATCGCCCCCCTATCCACCCTGTCATATGCCTTTTCCAAATCCATAAATGCCACAAAAACCTCTTTAGCCTTATCTAAATACTGTTCACTTATATGTTTCACTGTAAACACCTGGTCCACACACCCCCTACCTTTCCTAAAGCCTCCTTGTTCATCTGCTATCCTATTCTCCGTCTTACTCTTAATTCTTTCAATAATAACTCTACCATACACTTTACCAGGTATACTCAACAGACTTATCCCCCTATAATTTTTTGCACTCTCTTTTGTCCCCTTTGCCTTTATACAAAGGAACTATGCATGCTCTCTGCCAATCCCTATGTACCTTACCCTCTTCCATACATTTATTAAATAATAGCACCAACCACTCCAAAACTATATCCCCACCTGCTTTTAACATTTCTATCTTTATCCCATCAATCCCAGCTGCCTTACCCCCTTTCATTTTACCTACTGCCTCACGAACTTCCCCACACTCACAACTGGCTCTTCCTCACTCCTACAAGATGTTATTCCTCCTTGCCCTATACACGAAATCACAGCTTCCCTATCTTCATCAACATTTAACAATTCCTTAAAATATTCCCTCCATCTTCCCAATACCTCTAACTCTCCATTTAATAACTCTCCTCTCCTATTTTTAACTGACAAATCCATTTGTTCTCTAGGCTTCCTTAACTTGTTGATCTCACTACAAAACTTTTTCTTATTTTCAACAAAATTTGTTGATAACATCTCACCCACTCTCTCATTTGCTCTCTTTTTACATTGCTTCACCACTCTCTTAGCCTCTCTCTTTTTCTCCATATACTCTTCCCTCCTTGCATCACTTCTACTTTGTAAAAACCTCTCATATGCTAACTTTTTCTCCCTTACTACTAACTGCCTCCTCTTTTAGTTTATAAACCTTCATCTCTCTCTTCCCTGATGCTTCTATTTTCCTTGTATCCCATCTACCTTTTACTCTCAGTGTAGCTACAACTAAAAAGTGATCTGATATATCTGTGGCCCCTCTATTAACATGTACATCCTGAAGTCTACTCAACAGTCTTATCTACCAGTACATAATCCAACAAACTACTGTCATTTCACCCTACATCATATCTTGTATATTTATTTATCTCTTTTTCTTAAAATATGTATTACCTATAACTAAACCCCTTTCTATACAAAGTTCAATCAAAGGACTCCCATTATCATTTACACCTGGCACCCCAAACTTACCTACCACACCCTCTCTAAAAGTTTCTCCTACTTTAGCATTCATGTCTCCTACCACAATTACTCTCTCACTTGGTTCAAAGGTTCCTATACATTCACTTAACATCTCCCAAAATCTCTCTCTCTCCACTACATTCCTCTCTTCTCCAGGTGCATACACGCTTATTATGACCCACTTTTCGCATCCAACCTTTACTTTAACCCACATAATCCTTGAATTTACACATTCATATTCTCTTTTCTCCTTCCATAACTGATCCTTCAACATTACTGCTACCCCTTCCTTAGCTCTAACTCTCTCAGATACTCCAGATTTAACCCCATTTATTTCCCCCCACCGAAACTCCCCTACCCCCTTCAGCTTTGTTTTGCTTAGAGCCAGGACATCCAACTTCTTCTCATTCATAACATCAGCAATCATCTGTTTCTTGTCATCCGCACTACATCCACGCACATTCAAGCAACCCAGTTTTATAAAGTTTTTCTTTTTCTCTTTTTTTAGTAAATGTCTA